CGTTGGGATCATTACTTAACTCTATGCCCGCACATCGTTAGTGATTTAGTGGTCACTCTTTCCATAAATTCGTATTATACGTATCTTTTGTAAATCCACTAATTTACATTTGTAATTTCTAATAATTTTTTTTTGTACTTCTTTTTCTGGTACGTTTTTTTTTTGTTAGTAAATTTGGAAGCTAGTTAACCTCTTGATTACTATTTTTTATGCACACCAAAATCAATGCTTTTTAAAGGACTCTTAAATCAATGATTTTATGTTAACTTTGGATGCATAATTTTAATTTAAAAAAAGATTTTCCTTAATTATTATTGAGACATAATTTGTGGACAAAAATTATGATTAAAGGTATTATGAGTATATCTTAATTACTGTATAAAAAATCACATTTTTATGCACAATTCTTTATTTAGGTTATAGATTCAAATGGTTCTTTAAATATACTTGGTGTGCACTTTTGGTTGTATGGATGTGCATTGTTAAATATTTGGTTTGCACTTTTGGTAGTATTGTTGTTATTGATGTTGTTGAAGGTAAGTAAACTAAATCATACAATATACTGTCAATATAAAAAAAATTATAGCATAAAGTGTGCAAAATTCTTGTAAGAATAACAATACACAAGAATGTTGTTTTTCTTATTAAGAAATAAGAATAAGTGTGCCAAATTCCGCACATTTGTATATAAGTGCACAATAATGTTACTAAAGGTGCATATTTACTTTTGAGTACGTAATTGCACAATGTGAAACAAAAATGTGCATTGTTATGAATCACAAAGTGCAGCTACATTTTTTTAAATAATTTAAATTGTTATACTACTTTGAATTGTGCATTATCTTAAACATAAATATGCAACATCATTAACGCAGAGGTGCATCATTTTAGGTCGTTCTCATGTGCAAAATCATATCCTAAAAGAAAAATGAGAATGAATCTGATTGTTAACAAAAATGCAGCTACATTTTCAAATAAATTAAATTGCTATAAAACTTTAATGTGTGCATTATGTTTATCATAAATGTGCAACATCGTTAATCAAAATGTGCATCATTTTAGGTCATTTTCATTCATCATGTGAGAAACCGTAACTGTTCCATCAAAATCATATCCAGAGAAAAGAAAATGAATCTGAACGTAACAACTATGCATGATTTGTAATATTAATGTGCTTGTCATGAATCACAAAGTGCCGCTACATTTTTAAATTAATTAAATTGTTATACCACTTTAACTTATGCATTATGTTTATCATATATGTGCAACATCATTAACCAGGATGTGCATCGTACGTTTTAGGTCATTCTCATATATCACGTGAGAAATCCCACCAAAACCATCGCCTAACTAATTATAAGTTTATTCGACTTTATAAATGTAGAGTACACTTTTAAGGTTGCACTATAAAGATAATATAAGTGCACTAAAAATTTGGAAAAGAATAAAACAAACTAAATAGAAAATTTTAGCATTAATAAAATATGGTGGATAATAATATGAACAAGCATATCTATATTGAAAATGACACGTGGGTAGACTTCTCTAAACTTATGAACTTAAGTTCCATATTGGACTTAATTTAAGTGCTTTCAATTGAAAGCATCTAAACATATAATTGATAGTAACGGCGCATTAATTATTCAATGCTAACGTGATAACCTCTACGTTAGTGGTTTGAAGTTGTGCATATTTGCATTTATGCCACCGTTTCACTTAATGATCTAATACTATTGATTTGGGATTTTAAATGATCAAGAATTGTTCTCATTTTTCCCCTAAGAGAGTGTTCTCACATGAACCTTACCCATGTATATATATATATATATATATATATATATATATATATATATATATATAGGGTGCGGTTCCAGTGAGAACGATGCTTAACGTGAGAACGTGAGAACACTCACAATTAACCCAGCGTGATACACAATTGAGCCCGTCAGGTGCACATTTGGGTTTAGCTCAAAATAAGCCTATATAAATAATGACGGTGGCATTTTAGTAAATACTGTGCCGAACGCGAAAATGTGCATTGGGCGAGCCTCATTGTGCATCACATTTGCGTAAATGTGGTGTTCTCACGTTCTCACGTTAAGGGTTGTTCTCATTTGATCCTAAATCTATATATATATATATATATATATATATATATATATATATATATATATATATGTATTGGTTCAGGTGAGAAATGCATCTAATGTGAGAAATGAGAATGAATCTCAGCCATTGGATTTACAAAGTTGCACTAAAATTGGCTTTATGTTGCAGTAATATTTAAATTTTGCACATGTTGCACTAAAACTGTTTCATGTTGCACTAATACTTGACGACGTTGCACCGAAATAGCTTCATGTTGCACTAGACACGTGTAGTACGGATTTTTCAGAAGTATTTACAGAAATGCCACCGTGCTAGATTGCATATTTCTAGCACTGAAATAAATAATATGCAATCTAGTTTAGATTGCTATGTGCTAGAAAGGAGTTCATAAGTTTGATGCTAGATTTACAGAAATGCCACCATGATGCTAGTTTAGTGTAGCATAGGTGAAAAAGTGAAATCTAGCATCAGTGTGAAACCACCATGATGCCAGTTTAGCATAGAAGTATTTACAGAAGTGCAACCATGATGCTAGTTTAGTGTAGCATCATGAAACCATATTTCAGTGCAAGTGCACATAGCATCATGCCAATATGGAACTTAAGTTCATAAGTTTAGAGAAGTCTACCCACGTGCCATTTTCAATATAGATATGCTTGTTCATATTATTATCAACCATATTTTATTAATGCTAACATTTTCTATTTAGTTTGTTTTATTCTTTTCCAATCCACCATATTTTATTAATGCTAAAATTTTCTATTTAGCTTGTTTTATTCTTTTCCAAATTTTTAGTGCACTTATACTATCTTTATAGTGCAACCTTAAAAGTGTACTCTACATTTATAAAGTCGAATAAACTTATAATTAGTTAGGCGATGGTTTTGGTGGGATTTCTCACGTGATATATGAGAATGACCTAAAACGTACGGTGCACATCCTGGTTAATGATGTTGCACATTAATATTACAAATCATGCATAGTTGTTACGTTCAGATTCATTTTCTTTCCTCTGGATATGATTTTGATGGGAACAGTTACGGTTTCTCACATGATAAATGAAAATGACCTAAAATGATGCACATTTTGATTAACGATGTTGCACATTTATGATAAACATAATGCACACATTAAAGTTTTATAGCAATTTAATTTATTTGAAAATGTAGCTGCATTTTTGTTAACAATCAGATTCATTCTCATTTTTCTTTTAGGATATGATTTTGCACATGAGAACGACCTAAAATGATGCACCTCTGCGTTAATGGTGTTGCATATTTATGTTTAAGATAATGCACAATTCAAAGTAGTATAACAATTTAAATTATTTAAAAAATGTAGCTGCACTTTGTGATTCATAACAATGCACATTTTTGTTTCACATTGTGCAATTACGTACTCAAAAGTAAATATGCACCTTTAGTAACATTATTGTGCACTTATATACAAATGTGCGGAATTTGGCACACTTATTCTTATTTCTTAATAAGAAAAACAACATTCTTGTGTATTGTTATTCTTACAAGAATTTTGCACACTTTATGCTATAATTTTTTTTATATTGACAGTATATTGTATGATTTAGTTTACTTACCTTCAACAACATCAATAACAACAATACTATCAAAAGTGCAAACCAAATATTTAACAATGCACATCCATACAACCAAAAGTGCACACCAAGTATATTTAAAGAACCATTTGAATCTATAACCTAAATAAAGAATTGTGCATAAAAATGTGATTTTTTATACAGTAATTAAGATATACTCATAATACCTTTAATCATAATTTTTGTCCACAAATTATGTCTCAATAATAATTAAGGAAAATCTTTTTTTAAATTAAAATTATGCATCCAAAGTTAACATAAAAATCATTGATTTAAGAGTCCTTTAAAAAGCATTGATTTAGGTGTGCATAAAAAATAGTAATCAAGAGGTTAACTAGCTTCCAAATTTACTAACAAAAAAAAACGTACCAGAAAAAGAAGTACAAAAAAAATTATTAGAAATTACAAATACAAATTAGTGGATTTACAAAAGATACGTATAGTACGAATTTATGGAAAGAGTGACCACTAAATCACTAACGATGTGTGGGCATAGAGTTAAGTAATGATCCCAACGAATTTGACTGTTAATTCCCAAGAAACAACCGTTCCGTTCAATTAAGTTTAATCAAAGGTGGAGATGCATTCTTATTTCTCTCATAACATGTTATTCTCATTTGATCCCTACTCATATACACACACACAGATATATATATAGGACCATTAAATGCCAAGTTTCGTACTCTTACCTTGCTTTCCTTTAATAATTCAGTCATTTAGATTATTATTTTAAATAAATAATAGGCTAGACTCAAAATAGTCAATTAAATTAGTTGCGTAGGTATCACCAAAAAACAAATTGAGTAGGTGCACTATTTCTCATACAATTTGCACTTTGGAATGGTGAAGGTTGCACTAGATCTTTCTAATTTGATGTAGCTATTTAACAGGGCCAAATTTAATGCCCGCACTTCAATTATCTTATATAATTTTCTTTCCAAATCTAATATTTACACACATATAATTTGGAATTACTACTTTGTTGATAAAAAATAAAATTGTGCATTATTAATTTTAATATATTATCAATGGACTCCACCTAGATTTGTCCATTTGCACTCCAATATTGAATAAATGCACTTTTCTTTGAAATATTATTGAACGTCAATTTTATTAAAAGTGATTTGTATTTGCACTAATAGCACTTCTAAAAATATTTTAAATAAAAATGATTTGAATTGAAATAAAAATTAATAAGAAATCTACACGAATTGGTGAAAAATATCTACTATCAAATGCATATTAATATATAAAATGGGTTACACGAATTGGTGAATATACGTATATTCACAAAAATGGGTTACTGCTACTGGTTCACGTGCAAGTAAAATTCTAAACTAAAAGGGAAAATTTTCAAAAAGGCTAAAATTCCATGAATAGCAGCAAGGCACTTCACTCATCCTTCCATCCGAATTCCCTGGCTCGAGTCTCCCACAGTTCAGAGAGCTTGCGCTCTTCTATTAGAGCCGCTTGGGCCCTTTCTCTAGCTTCTTCACACGTTTCCATCCCTGCATTGCATTTCTCGGCTTCTCTTTGGTAGTGAGAAGATGCTCTTTTGGCACCTGTAATTAGCGTGTTTGTGTGTTCCAAGCTGTCACTCGTCACATTCTTCAACAAGTTAATCTCTTCTGATAGTAGGGTGATGATATCCTTTTTCATTTCCTCATTCATTTCAGGATTGTCTTTAGCACAATCTGCAATTGAACCATTCAGAAAATCTAGAGGCAAGGGCAACATTGAATCTTCTTCACAGTCGCAGGAACAAGGGGGGCATGAATCTAAACCGCCACTTGACCTCAATTTGGATCTCCTGAGGACTGATGGCCTTACCATATAAAAAACCAGAAACAAGCAAACAAATATCACCACGCATCTCACTGCCCCTTGGCTGCACAACCTCTGGTCTGATGGATGAGCCATGGGAAAGTTCCTCTGGTCCCTGTTTTCTATTCTAGAATGTATATGTATGAAAGATAGATCTATGATTTGAAGCTTTCCATTGATGGTGAAGGTTTTACAGAATGATATGAATGTAGCGTAAAAACCTTACACGCAAATAGGCACTGCGGCACAGAGAATATTACGAAAAGCTTAACCTAGCCTTTCCCTTAAGGCATATATATAGCCTGACGGGAAAGGTAGGTTTCACAATTATTTGGGCTCCTTTTTCTAGGAGGCCCATACCTAAAAAGGTATAAAACCTTTTATTACAAATTGCCTTAAAAGGCCTATTCATTATTCTAGCTAGTCTATTTAATTAAAATGCTAAATATAAAGAGCTAAGAAACATTGATCACAATATAATGAAAATATCTCTAACAATCTCCCCCTTTGTGATCAGATGTTCTTGCTTCTTCTTTTCTTCACTTCTGAGCTTTAAAATAATGCTTTCTGAGATTTAGAGCGTGCTCGTAATTTCTGAGAGATCTTCTATCATCGATTTGCTTATTGATGGCCTTCAGAACTTCATCAACTCTTTCCAGTTCTTTGATTTCTTTCTTTGTGGCTTCTGTTGATTTCTTGACAAGTCCTTCTCTCTTTGATCTCATTCTATTTCTGATGATCTTCAGCGTTCCGTCGCAGTATTTGTTTATTTCTTTGATAATCAAAATGCGCTTCTTTCCTTCATGATTCAGGTAGATGACTGAGGTTGAATTGTCGAAGATATGATCTTCTGGGAAGTCTTCTATTTCTGGTCTGTAAAGTTCTGGCTTTGTAAGATTCACTTTGGGATAATTACTTTCCAGACCCATCTGAAGATCATGACCTCCATAGTATCGAACTTGTCTCATCATGAATCTTTTTATGGCTTCAAATCCTTCTCTTGCAAGTCTATCTTTATGGACCGGTAGCTCTCTGCATCTCATAAACATTTGATACACGTCGTCCATATGTAGCAGAAAGAAATCGTTTTCTTGACAAGTGAAGGTTGATCCATCAGTTCTTTGTAGATGAAAGACCATGTATTTAATCTTCTCCAGGTACTCTTCTGTAACTTTCAGGATTGTTTGCACTGGACATCCGCTTGTTGCAAGATTATGATTCAAAATCTGTCGTCGTTCTCCAGTGGATCTATGTCCGAGCATGTACAAGTTTCCTCCTCTGTCTCTTCCTTTGAGATGATAGATGCCACGCATCCTGAGTTCTGTGTATGTCTTGATCTTCTCTGGTTTGCGCCAAATTCGTTCTCTGATTTCTTCCAGGAAGGGGTTCTTGATTCTGACACTATCTACTGGTTTCTGAGTAGCCTTTTGCTTAGTGATAGATTCAGGCTCTTTGCGTTTTTCTCCTTCTTTTATCTCATCATTGTCGAGCCCAATCATCTGTGCATGATATTTATTGAGAAACTCTCTGAGCTGCCAACTTCTGCACATTTCGTACTGCTCCGCCTCCACCCTAAGATCATCCCATTCTGTCCACTGACGGGGCCATTTGTCATAGACTAGAATTTCTTCAAGTTCATCGGGTGTCTGATCATCAGGTTGGTTGGAGGGAGTCTGCTGCTGTTGTGGCGCTCTGTCAATGGTAACTCCGGGATCACTAGGATTGCCCGTTGACATCAGATTAGAACTAGGTTCTTTCTGATGGCCTGAATAGAAAGGTGTACTCGAAGTAGCAACCTCAGGACTTCCACTCCATCCTTGGTCTACATCTATGAAAGATGAGCCTAGGAGTGTTGTTTCTAGCTCGACCGGGCTAGATGTGGGTGAGTTGGCTGTTTGGCTTTTATGATGAGTGGATGGTGGGGGCTGATAGTTCGAGGATTCAGGTTGGTTGGATTGCGTAGAGGGTTGGCTTGTTGACGCATCACGCTCAAGTGTCCTTTGTCTCTTGTTCTCCCCCTCATGAGGATCCGAGTCATCGGGGTCCTCATGCGAACGTTTGTGACCGAGGAGACTATCACGGCATGAGCTGTCAGGCTTAAGGATCCGAAGAAGGTCTTTTTGTTTCTGGGTTAGGTTGCCTTCTTCGGTAGCTAGTAGTTGATCTAGCATTAGGTTCTCGAGTACCTCGAATGGTAAAGTTTTAGGGTCAGGAAAAGGTGTGGTCGAAGTAGGGGAGGACACTAGTTCTGTATCCTGGGTTCCCCTTGAAGCAGTAGGTGAGTGGGGTAGGGTTGTGGATGGTTCAGAGGTTTGTTGGGTAGGTATGATAGGAAGTGGTTGGGTTTCTTGGGTATGTGAGGATGTTGGTTGGGGTTGGATGATGTCATTATGCAGTGCCGGGGTGTTCCTGAATTCCTGTGCCCGAGCGGTTATTGCTTCGTGCACCCATGGTTTAATGGTGGAATCCAAGAAACGCTGCAAAATGACAGAAAGGTCGGTGGGGTCAGGGTGTCCGGTTACAGGGGTAGTAACCGTTGTCACAGCATCAGTAAAGATTACCGATGTGTGGCCTGCAGATAATGATGGAGATATCTGTTGAGCAGCAGGACTTCCGATCATCATCGACGTATCTCCGATCGTTGAGGACAAGTAGAGTGCACCTGTCGTGTGCGGTGGTGTGAGCAGTGTATGTGTCCTAGAAAATGTTGAAAATGTTGGGATGGTGGAAACTAGACTCAATGTGCTAGAAGGAGGGGTAGTGGTCTGGGGCGGAAGACCACAAAGTAAATCCTCAGCTGCTTCGTAGGGAGACAGCGAGGTGGGTATAATATCCCCTATATGTGAAACTACTACCTGTTGGGAGGCAGCAGAGTGGCTAGGTGAGGCTTGTGCATGCGCAGTTGGGCTAGATGCTGCGTCTTCTACTCGGAAACTGAAAATATCAGTTTCTGCACCTATGGGGTTAGCTCGGTTTATTGTGTCTAGGTCAGAGCAGCTGTCATACAAAGCTAACTCTTCTGCCAGGTTGCTCGCGGTTTGCACTCTTTGCACAGGAGTACATGATGAGGCAAGATCATGACACACCTTGGAGCGAGTCTCACTGATGATATTTCCTTGAGTGTCCTTGATTTGGTGAGACTGCTCCTGTGTTGTAGCCCGAGAAAGCCTGATAATGAGTCGTCCTTTCTTAGCGCGGGCTTTCTCGACTTTCTTCCCCTTTGCATTGGCGTTGTCGTCGTCCTCATCATCATCATCGTTGTCGTTCCTAGCCTTGCTCCCAGAGCCCTCATCGTCAGCGTCTTGTGTTGTGGCTACGCTTGGCGAATCATGGGTAAACTCTTCAGCACGGGTGTGGCCCTCAGCAGACATAGTCTGATCATCATGGGGCCGGCTTGCCACTGGTCTCTGTGGCCGGGTTGAACTCTCAGGACCCTCACTTACTCTTGGCTGACTCCCCGGGGTAGGCTCAGGGGGGTTTATCTGAGCCATAGGGAGTATGATATTATTCTCCTCGCTGTAGCGTATAACGTGTGGATCATTGCGACCGGCTAGCAGGAGGAGAGGGACAGGAATAGGTAATGGTACCAGTGTGCGTACCTCTGGCATTCTCTTCAGATATTGGAGGGCTGGAGTGTTGACATTCTCAGATGATTTGCGCCGTTGAATCGTAGGAATTGTTCTGCAGAAGTGTCGCACCAGCAGTGAAAACCATCTCATGTATGGTAGGTGTTTGATCAGATCAGTTTCGAATTTTCGTCTTCTCATCTCCAGAATGTCACCCCAGATTAGTGAGGCGAAGTCGTAATTCTTCATGAAAGCGATGCCGTGGAAGATGTAGACGAGGTAACCGCTGCATTTGTCGAAGCCGCTGTGCTTAGATGTGCAGCACTTGTTTAGTGTGGCCATTAGTGTCCTCCAAGGTCGTGGAAATCGTGCGGTCTTGATTGCAGACATCAACCGGAGGGGCTCAGCGTGGCCTAGAGTGATCATGTCCTCAAAGATTTGCGCTTCTGAGGCCAACGCATCATAATGTTCCTCCTCCGGGATCTGTAGCACTTGTTGGACGAGCGCTTTGGTGATGGTGACTCTTGTGTTGCAGATTGTGGCAGCTAGTACATCATCGAGTTGCCTGCCATTTGCATCCACGTCCTTGTCAAGTGTACCCCAGAATTGTTGGAGATACACCTGAGGGACTTCAGCGTTTGCGTTCAGTGCCTTCCACAGCTTGTGGCCTTTCAGAATGGAGACCACGACGTCATCTTGACAAGAGAAGACTTCGGGGTCCAGTTGTGAGTTATTCTCTCTGATTGGGATCCAGTGTTCTCTCGCATAGATCATATTGATTGGAGTGTTGACAGCCATTTCAGTCTGAAAATGATAAACAGATTAGAGCATATGATCAAAAATGGCTAAGTCCACACTTTATTCCTCACTTGGGCCCTTTATTGTTGTTGTTTTTTTTTTGAAAAGTGGGGCCC